CCATCTCATTAAGAATCTCTCAGAAAAAAACAAATTCCATCTTTTTCCAAAGAAAACAGCAGCCCAGAACAAAGCTGATGCCTTTGGCACATTACTTCGTAAAATTATCTGGAAGTTCTTTAACACTGTCCTGAGAAGTCATTTAATTTGGGTGATTTCAGGGTACATCACTCTCGTAAAGCTGCTTTGGGCCGCTGCATCTTTAATGAGGCTGACTAGATAAGAGGAACAGATACTCTCTAGATTGAAAGCTGTCTCAACAAACGCAGAATGGAATTTGATTTAATTTAATTTCACCAATGGATCTATTTATACCCCGCCTTCTTCCAGAAAGGGTTAAGGCAACTTAGCTGATGTGAAGGTCTGAAGGCATAGGTCCCTCATGAAAGCCTGAGATTAATATCTAGAACATATAACATGTCCAGGTGGTTTTCAATTATCAGTGTGTTAATCTAAGCTTAAAAAGAGCTTTTAAGCTGTACTGAAACATCAGCTAGCTTCGAACCTGCACTTTTAGTCAGCTATTTTGTCATCTGGAGGCCTGCACAATAAATCTATTGTTCCTTTAAAAAAAGAAAGAAAGGAAGGGAAAAAACCTTCTGGTGTTGCTTTTGTTCATCTTATCATCTTATCATTCAGCACCCTATTCAGGATCATATGTGAGAAAGTGTCTGTGTAAGATGGAGGTCTATACTCAGGGCAGGAATTTCTTGGAAAAACATCCTTCTTAAAGGGTAGCTATGTAACAAAGAGAAGAGAAATTCTACTTTCATGATGAAGTTGGCTTTTCATGCAGTATGTTTCAAACCTAATGTTTAAGAAAATTCAAAGCAGACCATCTATGTGGATGTTTCCACACTCCATTTTTATGTTAGCCTGTTTAACTGAGATTATTAGTGGGTACTTGAACTAAGGGGAGAGAACTCCATCTTTAAGATGATCTACCATGCCTCAATTTCCCTTTGTTTTTGATATTAATTTAAGAGGCAACAAAGACACATATTTTCTACTGAATTATGCCACTCTTCCGTGAATATTTTGGGGATAAGAATATTCACAGACTTCCCTAAATAAATCAGTATGTATGAGTTGAGGGCCTGAGACAGAACCAAAAACAAATCTCTATTGAGTTCTAATCTCAACACTGAAACAGGCCCATTCTGAAATCCTGTTAACTGAAGTAAACCCAATTTATATCCAGATTCTGTCTGGGAGAGGCACTTAGGCCAGACATCTCACAATTGAAGAATATTTATTGTATAATATTTATGTGGACAGAAGTGAGTATTAGAGCATTTACAGATGTGGCAAACAGTTGGCCAAATGCTGCTGGACCTCACTGGGTGACCTCACTGGGTTTCTTATTAAATTTGGTGGAAGCTGATTAAAAACCCTTTCTACTACCGCCACTCATTTTCCCTTAAACAATTTCATAGCCATCACTCCACTAAAAAGAAAAATGAATGAGTATGATCTAAATAGTATATGAATAACTATTATAAACACAATGATTTCTACAGGGTTTATTCCTATCCTGTACCACTCAGCCTGGCCACCGCCCAGGGTTCTGTTACTAAGGAAGAAGTGGGGAATGGCTATGGGAAAGCCATGAGTGGACTCCATCCTTGAAGCTACCCGAACATATATATGTACTCATTCTCATCTACGGAACAAGTTTCATCCATTTATGCATCCAGCTCAAAGCCTGGAATCTCTCTGTGTGCTTTCCTCTCTGTCAGTTTCAGATGTGGCTGCTATAAGACTAAAAGACAAATTACTACTCCCATAAAGCCAAATATAAAATGGTAGTGAAGGGAATAGAGAAACTGCAATAAAAACTCCCATTTTGGGGAGGAAGTAGAAATACACAGCTGTTACAGTTTCCCAGCCATGATCAGATTCTGCAGGGCGGATACAGCACACCCATGACAAGACCGTGGCCCAGGGGGGTTTATTACTGACCCAGCTGGCAGCCTGTGCTTCTAACCCACGGGAGTGTTTGCCCACTGACCCCTGTGGCCCTAACACTGCTTACTCTGGGAAGCTCTTGGTCCATTGTCTTCCACAACCATAGATCAGGTAGACCCTGCAGAGTATTTCTCTCCTTGGTATCTTAGCTTGGGATGCCATAACAAAATTACCTGGACTGGGTGATTGAATCAACAGACATTTTCTTCTACACTTTGGAGACTGAGAAGTCCAAGATCAAGGTACCAGCGTGGGTCAGTTTCTGGCTTACAGATGGCCACTTCTAGCTATGTTCTCACATGGTGGAGGAGACAGGGGGTGGTGGGAAAGGGAGTACTTTGCTCTCTTCTTCTTGGTGTAATAACACTAATCCCATCAGGTGAGCTCTGCCTCCATGAACTCATCTAAACCTAATCACTTCCCAAAAGCCCACCTTCAAACACCATCATGCTGGATATTAGGGCTTGAACATACAAATTTTGAAGGACATTCAGCCCATAGCACTTGGGGTTATCTAGCTTCACCAGTCCCCTTCCGGGTGGTATGGGTTTAATGGCCTGGAAATTTATTTAGGATTTTTGCAAGCACAAGCTACGTCACATAGGCATGTGGTTTCTTTAGCCCTACAGTTCTCTCAAAAATTAGTAGACTTCCCATGTACTTGCTGTTGGTGAGTTTCTGTGCAGTTAACCACAGTCAAATATATCTAAAGACATGGTTTTTAAGTCAGAAGACTTTCTTTCAACTACTAGCCTCTACTCTGTCATTTCCAAGTCGTCTGAAGAAGGTACCTTGACTCTTTTTTGAAACAAAATTCTCAAATGAGAAGATGACAACCTAAATCCCACTTTGCTAGTATCCTACCACTTGGTAGGCCATCTTCCGGTAAGGATGCTAGTGTTTAAGCTGCATTAGACTGGGGTGTAGATGTGGTTGACTGGCAACTCAACAAAACTCCACACTACCGGACTTTAAAAGACGTAAGTCACAGGCTTCAGACAGAGAATACCCACCTGAGTCATACAGAATTTCTTTGATCTCTTCTGAAAAGTGATTGACTCCAGCCTGAGGTCATCTCTCATTTAGGAGCAGGCATACTGTCTTGCCAATGGGTCTCAGCCCCTGGCAAGTTCGCTATGGATTCAATGTGACCAAAGAAATTGACAGCAAAACGTTCTTTGTGGTGAAAGGGTTTATTACCCGGCTTGTTCTCCCAGCGACAGGTCGAGCACTAGCGTCTCTGCCTCTGCCCAGAGCACTAGGCCGAGCTCTCTATAGAGCACAATAATAGCTTATTGCCTAAAGGTGTGGAAGCGGTATAGCAACAGGCCAGTTACATCATCAGGTGGTTTAAGTTCAGTAAGGATCCTGGCCATAGGAACCCCAACTTCCCCACACATATACACTGGTATACTGAATCTTACCAGCTATCAGTCCTCAAGCCACATGTTTCCTTTGAGAGAAAGTGGTAAATCAGATGTGTCACTTGCAATTCTTCCCAATAAGCTTCCCTCTCCCCCATATTCCTCCAGGGCTCCCCCTGAAGCTGCAGCAGTCCTGTTCCAGCTGCCATCAGTCCATAGTGTGTACAGTCAGCTAGAAACCAGACTCAGTACTTAACTTCTTCTCCACCAGCCAACTTTTCATGGAGAGTACCTGATGAACCTTAGGAGTGGGTTGAGATAGAGCTGGTGAAAAAGGTATGTTAGGAGTGTGAGTCACCTGCTCATTGACTTACCCACTAAGGGGCTTTTAAACTTGCCTTAAACCAATTATCAAATCAACTCACTGATGGAGTGCTAGTTGACCTGCTTGGTTTCATGGTCTAGACCTGTGCTGTTCATACGGTGGTCACTAGCCAGTGTGGCTACTGAGCATGTGAACATGGCTTGTCTGAACTGAGCTGTGATGGAGGTATGCAATATACAACATACTTTGAAAAGTTAGTACAAAGAATGCAAAATACCTTAATAATCTTTATTGATTACTTTTACTTGAGAAATATGATGAAGCTGTGAATTCAACCTATGCTGTAATTCAGCAGCCCACTGGATCAGCCTCTGCCACTGATTTTAGGCTGATAGAGGTAAGAGATTATTTGGAGGCAATCACTGAAATGCTATGGTTTATTAACCAAGGCTTGAATAGAGAACTTAAAGCTTTGAGCCTGCCATTTTTTTAAAGCTCATTAGTACAAGAGGCCAGCATACCCTTTCTATTCTAGGTTATAAAATAACCACAAATACAATTTGTGCTAGAGTCCTATCACTTGGAGTCTCTGCTGGCAACAACATTAGCTTTGTGGAAACAAAAAGAAATTGAAATGGTAGTGAAAAACAAATTCTTCATCCAGACCCTCGACCAGTTCTAAGGCACACTTCTTGGGAGTAATGCTATTTCCATTACACTCCATTGTTTTAGCAGCTTCCAATTATCTGAGATAATATATATTCTTTACTTCTTTTTTTTTCCCTCTTTACATAACTATCTATGCACACTCAAATGTAATGTTGAAAATTTATGTCATCATAAGAAGATCTGGAATTATAATCACTTTATTTTCCTTTATTCAGAAAGGGTGGAATTGTTTTCACTTTTTAAAAATGTGTGTGTGTGTGTGTGTGTGTGTGTGTGTGTGTGTGTATATATATATAAACTGCACTGTAACATCAGTGGATACAGGAGATACTGTGTCAACTCCACATCTCAATCTGATTGCATCTTCTTTCCTGGAAAAGCTATTAAGTCATTGCATGCACCTGCTTCCTGGAGCCACAGGCATGTGCTTTGAGGAGGAAATGGAAGAAAAAAAAAAACTATTCCTATCTCTCACTCAAAACAACTGGGACTAGAATAAGTATGTGTGAAGACCATGCCTACATTTTGCAAAATGTATACCACACACACCCAATACTCAGGCTTTTTCTTCATTCCTCATATAGGAAGAGAGTCATTATTAAAGATCTGATGTTGACTGGACTACCACTATTGTAATTCTTGGATAAAGTCTCATCAGAAATATAGACCCAAGAAAAGGTTAAGTTTCCATTTTAATCATCATCAGAAAAATCACTTCTGTGGAACAGAACAACTAAAGTCAGTTGTAAAATTTTAGCTGACCTCCTGTCACCTTGGTAGGGTAGGGGGTAGAAACTTGTTAAAACACAGTCTGCTGAACCTCAACTCCAGAACTTCTGACTCAGGAAGTCTGGGGTGGGGCCCAAGAATTTGCTTTTCTAACAAGTTTACAGATGATGTTGATACTGTTCATCTGGAGAAACTCACTTTGAGAACCACACCCTTAAGGTGTCATTGGAAAGGAGAACAGGGGTGTTTTATCTAATCATTTAAATGCCTGCACCTGAAATGCTTTTGTTGGGGTGAGGATCAATTTGCAATCAACTTGATACCCAATTCCCTAACCTATCACTTCCCAGATCACCTGCTTTGGGGGTGGGAGCAGGGATGGCTGATAAATTTGGATACAGGAGATACTGTGTCAAACAATTTTTTTTTAAATCAGCCTTGCCAAATACAAGGCTTAAAAAAATTAGCTGAGAACTCAGAATTGTTTCTCCCCATGGAAGTCTTTAGTAAAAGGCGAAAGATTCATACAATATGAAGAGAAACCAGAGTATAGGTGTCAAACAATTTTAAGTGCAGCTTGTTCATCACCCTTTTGGAGGAAATAGTCTTGAAATATGATTCTCATCAGCCACCTTCATTGATAAAGAGCCAGGAAATGCCACATGATTTTACTTTAACCCCTACACTGACAAAAATCTTAGTTTTGTTGCTGTTCCCAATAGTGGAATCTAAGAACCACCAGCAGGAGAAACCCCACAAGGCTTTAGGGGATGGCACTGATTAGACTGAGTCATTGGTGCTCAGGTCAAGTCCAGCAGGACAGTTTCCTGCCCAGAGGAAAAGTATCTCTGAGTCACAAGAATATGGCAATGATTCAGTTGTAGTTTCTGAATGTCTACCATGTTTCCTGCATGTAATAGTACTATAACACATCTCATACCATGTCTATGTATATTAGGTTCTTAATAAACTTCATAAGCTGAATGAATGAATTAGTGAAGAAAATTGTCCCAATGCTTGCTATATATTGTCACATATGCCCAATGAGCTTGATCAGTTAAAGTCTATGCTTTATCAATATTTACCTCAACTTCTGTGTTTTATATCAGCATCTGTACTTTGTGACATCTGCCCAGCAGAAATTCTTCCAGTGGTTACATCCAATTCATTTGGTGAGTTTCAGTCTTCTTGGTCACAGAGTGGAAAGGACCAATCAGTACATTCTATTTTGCTGTTCACAGTGATAGGTCTAAGTGGTGGTCAGGTGACCCAACAGAACCAGTAAGAATCTTCCCTGAGATATTTTGAAACTGAAATTCCCAAAGAGAAGTTGCTTTTCCTTTCTGGTTACACAGCATATGATATTACTTGGGCAGATGCCATCTAGGCAAGCAGATAAATGAGTTGAGTCAGGAGCTAAAAGACAGAAAGGTTGAGGCAAGAAGTATAAAGGTAAAAATTTATGAGTATGGTTAGAGGTTCATCTTCAAACCTATCTGTTTTTCTTTTCAGGTTCACATCTGGACTAAAATGTCCAGCCAACTTTGCAATTTAATCTAATCACACAACTGAATTTCATCCACTGCATATGAATGAAAATGATAGATGCTGTTCCAGGCCTGGCCCATAAAAATCTCTTGTGCCTGATCCTTCATACTTTTTCGTCTTTTTCTGGCTTGTTACAAACAAATACAGCAACTCAAAAGCTGTAAGTTGAAGACAGCAGAACCGCACAATGGAAAGAGCATAAATGGCCACTTTGAGGAGTGCTGTCAGCTGCTCACAAACACACAGTTTGGACTTGAAACAATGTCTATCGTGCTTAATCAGTACATATTTCTGAATTTGTCATAGCAGCAAGCATTATCCTACTAAAATAATTAATTAATGTATAAGTGCCATTTAAAACATGACGTTATATGACATCTCTTAGGGAATGGGTTTACCTAGAGAATAGAAGTGGTTTGAAGCCTAATTCTTGAGATACTTCAACATTTAATAATCAAAAGAAAGAGGAAAATAAAGCAAAGGAGTCTGAGAAGGAGCATCTAGGTGAGCAGGAGAAAAAACAAGGGGGCTGTAATGTTCTAGAACTAATGTGAAGGAAAGATTAAAGAAGAAATGACAGTTTGCTTCCTGTCGACCAAGAGTTTTTGACTGTGGTAGGCATTCCCCAAGATGCCCCCAGTGATTCCTGCCTACTGGTATTCACTTCTAATGAATAGATTGTGGCAGAAGTGACAGAATGTTATAAAAATTTGCAGCCATTACATTTGGGGCATAATTAGTTATGCAGCAATAGATAATTAATGCATCAACCAATATACTTGATGAATACAGATATAATCATTCCCCCTAAATATGCCTAAGTAGTAAACAGCATAAGAATATCCCTGTTCTTATTTATGCCTTATCCAAAAATGGCTTCATACATCAAAAATCTGAGACTTCTAAAAGCAAGGCAATATGGCCAAAGACTCCCAGCTAGCAAGGGCAAGCCATGGGGTCAAACGACATTATTTCTAAGTACAAGATGTGTTTGGAGAGACTATGAGTGAAACTTTATGGCTGGTGAAGGGTTCATAACTGAAGTAGTAGGAGAAATATCTGAAAAAGTAAGTTGGAATCGGATTGAGGAAGGCCACTTTGGATATGAGGCTAAGGAGTTGGTAGTAAATCTTCAATAATAGGAATAAAGATTTTTTTAGTAAAGGGAAAATATGGTGGAAGTGTTAATTGGAAATTTTATTGGGTGTCTGTTTTCTATAGGAAGAGTCTGGAGTGGGAAAGAACTGACAGGCAGCTGGTTTAAGCAAGTAGAAAGGAAGAGAAGAATAAGAGAAATCCCTCCAAATTACAATCAACAGGACTTGGTGACTAATTTAACATAGACTGGGGGAAAGTGAGGTAATGAAGAGGGAGTCTAAATGATAAGGAGGATGCCACCATAAACAGGAATAGGGAAGTCAAAGGAAGGATTGAGCTTGAAGAACGTGGGTGAGAGGAAAGGGAAAGTGGATTTCAGTTACATAGCTGGATTAGAAGGAACAGCACTGAATGTGAATGTGTAGCTAGAAATCAGGAGGGGTCTTCCAAAGAAAATAATTTGGGATACATCTGCATAGAGGTGATTAAAATCTTGAGAGTCCATGAGTTTCCAAGGAAAGATGAAGAAAAGCAGTGTAATGTAATAGACACGGTTGGCTTCCAACATCCATTCCCAAACTTGAGCTTCCCAACTGAATTCCCACTTGGTTCAGTTACCACCTCACCTCCTCTCAACTGTGAATGTCACTTGAAATTGTTCCTGGATCCAGAAGGTGGGTCCTGATTAGTCTAAGCCGATAATGGTCATTCCATCTCTGTTAAGAATGTGCCTAGGACACAAATCTAGGCAGTAAGATTTGAGAAGTCCACTGGGAAGTTCCTTAGGAAACCTGAGACAAGAAGCCCTCCTGTTTTCCTCTAGGAATTGCTCTTTTCTGTCTTGACATGAATCCTGGAATTGCTCTGCCATCTTGGTCTCTGGAGAGTCAGGGTCCAGTGGGCACAGGCATCCTGCAATACAACCAGAAACCAAACCTTGAGAAATTATTCAGATCCAGAGGCTTGGAAGAGGAAACAAAACCAATGAAACAGGATTGGACAGATGCTAGAAAGACAAAGAAAATCAAGGAAGGCACTGAAGTCAAGGTATCAGGGAATTGGAAGGAAGCCAGGGATTTTGACATCGCTTACACTGAAAAGGGCTGAAACATCCCCAGAGAGACAGTGAGCCGGACCAGGGAGGGCACTTCCGGTGACAAGCATATTCAAAGAGCTGCACTTGACAGGACTCCTCAGGCGATTCTGGGGTCAGCACAGGGTCGTTTCTGAACTATGAAACACATTTTCTTTCGAAAAAGTGACATTCATATAGGCTAGGTAAGTCATTCAAAAACCATCTTCAGTACAGTTATTATTCAGATTCACCCTGTCAGTGTGAAAATGTGGGTTGAAATGGACTTTGCTACTTGAAATTAAGTGTGATCACACTCAGCAGCCTTGGGAAGCACTCCAATTCAGACCTCAATTATGAGAGCCTTTGGGCCACAGGGAGTTGGGAGTAGCCTTCAGAATAAGAGCAGGGATTCTTTCTCTGGGATGTTTCCTGTTGGCAGCCCTCATCCTATGCAAGTGTTCTTTCTCATCCGTGATTCTTTACTCCTGCATTCAGCATATTCTTCCCACTTCTCCCCCTTGGAGGGACTATCTGGACTCTTGGGTGAGAGCCGCATGCGATTTCATGAGCCATCGGAATTAACTAAAACTTATTCTTCCTCAGTAAATCTCCCCTGAGCCTCCCCACAGCAGCTGTGAATTCCCAGCATGGGATGAGGTACTAAGAAAAATGGCTGCGTTCCTTAACTTTGTTCATCCTTCATCCCAAAGAAGCAGCAGACAGTGACACCAAAGGCAGTCAAAGAAAACCAGAAAGCCCTTCTAAGCACAACTCTTTTCCTAACCTACCTTGAAGATTTGACACTTAGATTTCCCAGAAGTTTAAGCTGAGTTTGCTTAAAGAAAAGGTGGAATCCAACGAGAGACAGGGTTCGGAAACTGGTGATTACATCCAAACCTTGCTAGCTGTTAGGCAAGATTCAAGACTTCAGAAAATGCAAACAAAATTACTGAGAGCTGTTGAGGCAGTGGCTAATCAGAAGAGGAAGTAATATTTGGTTGCACAGTGGGGCACAGCCATTCTTTTCTGATTTAAAGTATTTGTGGGTATTCATGTCTTTCCCCAGCTTTTCCTCCTGCGGGAGAGAAGCGGTGGCTGAGGATGGAAGCGGTACAGAGGGCTGATAGGGAGTGCGTGAAGCATTTACTGGCCAAAAATACCTACACTCTGACAACACTATGTTTACTTGTTAAAAATACACTTCATTGTGCTGTAGCAAAACTAAATCCCTCCCCATCCTCCACAGAGACAGGGTGATTGGATTTCAGGGTGAGGTGCCAGCTCGTGCTTTTGGGGGCATTAATGTGCCAGCTGCTCCTGCAGCACTCATTTTATTTCCTGTCCCCAGGGCGGTTTTACACTTTGTTTTTGTGTAAGGGAATCAGGATTAGTGGGTCTTTTGTTAGTAAGGTTGGGAGTGAGGGGAGAGAAGCATCTCCTCTGAGCTTCATACACATGGGTAGCCTAGCAGGCGTGGCTCAAAGCTTTGATTCCATTCTCCCTTGCTGACTTTTTCAAAAGGAAGAGGACCCATCCCATCAGGCTACTCTGTTGGAAGCTTGTGCGGCAATGGTTTGAGGTAACTAGCATTTTCCAAAAGCAGTTTGCTGCCTTCAAGCCAGGGCTAATTTTGAGTTTCAGGCAGATAAACTGCTCCCAACCTGGTAAGAAGAGTTTGTAGAAAGGAATGCCTCCTTATCACATGGTGAAAGGCATTTTGGGGTGGTCCTTATCTGAGAGCTGAACAGAGCATATGGATTCCTGCTTGACCCTTCAAAGGAGTTCACAGTATTTTTACCTACTTGGAAATGCTGAATTGCTACAAGTGTCCAAAATCCCCCTCATTGGCCGACTGGTCCCAGGACAGTGACCTGCTGGAGCCACCCCGGTGAGGTTCTCCTACGCTGATCAAATCGCCCAGCCTCCTAAACACTGGCCTCTTTTATGGAGCCACTTCTCTTAAAAAGGAATTGCTAAACACATACATACGTGCACACACGCACATATACTCACCACACAAACGCATTTTTGTTGTTGTTTTTTTAAGACTGGGAACAAAATTACGAAGCAAAATTTCCCAATGAACACTTCCCGCTTTTATTTTTAAGGACAGAGAAAGACAAAATGAAAAAGGAGCCTCCTTTATCTCCTTCCCTTCCCCCTCACAGCCCAAAATCAAAACACTCATTCTGAGGATGGAGCAGGGGTGGAAAAGGTCAAGAAAATTAGGCCTTGTCTATTTACTGGCTCCGTCAGGAACTATTGTTGCTCAGCAGCTGTTCTTGATTCTTTGGAAGCCCTGCCTGCAAGGAGAATGGAGTGTGTGACGCCGCAGGCAACGGGAGTGGGGAGTAACATCTAATATTTTTTGCACCTCAAGAAAGAGAGCTGTTGTTTCTCAAAAAGAGCAGAGATCCTATTTCTGGGTAGCTGTTGTCAGAAACTGGTTTTACCCAAACACAGTGGAAGTTGCACAGTAAATATGTGTGTGTGTGTGTGTGTGTGTTTCAGTGGGAGGGGGAAGAATAGTAGAGAAAGAAAGAATGGAGTCACAACCTAGTCAACCTTTCATTCTGTAGTTTTTTTAATGTAGAAAAAGCTGAAAATTTTCAGCCAAATGAAAAGCAGTAAAGTGGTTGAGAAAGACTTTATGACTAAGACAGGATTGCAATGGAAAATTCGTAAAAAGAGAAGTTAAACCAGCTGGCTTATTTAATTTTGGCTTTCCTCTCCTTTTTACTTTTTTTTTCTTCAGCTTAAAGTAGAGAAAAAAATGTACTGTGTAAATATCCAGTGTTTTTCCTAGTATTCAGCCCTAACTAAATTCTTCACCGAACTTAGTTTAGTGGATCTCTGGGGATTGGGCGTGAACATGACATTTCACCCCTGGGTCACAGGCCACTTCCTGTTGCAACTTGTAAGTAAAAGTTCTGGCTATCCTAGGGTCTCCTATGCTCAGGGGTGTGGGTGGGAGTGGGGGATGGAGAGGAAGCTCAATGATGATTATTCTCACATTATTTTATTGTAGGAACACTTCTTTTCCCATTCTTGTATCATATCCAGGAGCTAAATTTCAAAATCTTATTCCAGAGTACATGTTAATTAATACATTTCTAGTTTATTAATTTATTCATGTATTCAATAAAGATCATTTAACCACTACTTATTTACTGGACATTGTGTTAAGTTCTGGGAAAACAAAGATATAAAAAATATATTTCCTGCCTTGTATGACCTCAAACAAGCAGGAGAGACAGATATCTAGACTGATAATTATAGCAATTAAGTAAGTTCTGTGATACAACAGAATAGGGAAAATCTAACACTGCCTAGGGAAGGCAAGGAAGGCTTCTAGGAAGTGGTGATATTGCAAGTGAGTTCTGCAAGCTCAGTAGTTGCACACCAGAAGCCCCAGGAAAAGAACATTCCAGGCAGAGTGAATAGCTGTGGAAAAGCCTTGTTTCCCTGTTGGATAAGTGGGCAAGTCTTTGTCATTGTACATTTAGGTGTCTAGGAAACTAGGGTGAAAAATTGAGTGGGATGGGATAGGACTGGACCATGGCATTCAGAAATTGAAATCAAAAAGCTCCAAAGGCAGCATTCAGGGATAAAGGTAGCATTAAACCCAGTGGAAAATAATACCCAGACACCGTCCTAAAGGGACCAAGTAGAAAGGAAAAAAACAGGAGTACAGAAGCAGACACTGGAGGCAGCACAGGTTTGGGGCTGGGAGTCAGCGGGAAAGCCTAGAGAGAAGCCTTTGCAGGGAACAAAGAAGATTTTTAGAGGCAGCCTAAGGGCCTATCCAGGGTGGGGAAGAAGCCTTAAAAGCACAGAACCTGTTCAGGCAGGCATGGAAGCAAGACAAAGCATACCATAGTCAGGGAATTAAGGTCAGGCATCATGGCTGATGACCCAACAAGTGAAGAGGATAGTAGAAAAGGAGGAGTCAGGGTCTGCCTGGTGAGGAGTCTTGGAAAGTATGTTGAACACCGTCCCCCAAGCTGGGGTTTCCCGCAGGGAGGCATGGGCACCACGGGCAGTTACCAATGTGTGGTTAAACAGCACACAGTGTTTTTAAAGATTTTCAATAGTCGTGTATTTGTTTTTAAACACATTAGAAAAATATGTGAGTAGCATTTTAAATCCAAAATTATCAGATACAACAATTGTTTATGGTGAAATTAAAATAGATGGCACCATGGTGAGAGGATCTGTAGGAAAAAATTAAGAAAATACCAAAAAAGGTGTTACACAGATACCGCAAAAATTGAAAAGGTGGTCTATAAATGACTGAAGTTTGGAATGTTGACAATAAATAATGAGGAGCCCCTGAAAAGTTTTAAGCATTAGACTACTACATTGTAGAATATAGTTTCTGGTTGGCGGGTAGGGGATTGGAGGGGTAGAACTAGAGGTATTTGTTGAGGAGGACTGCATTTATCTTTAGAATCAATGTAGACTGCAAACTTTCCAGGTCTATGTTCCAATATAAAATCTGATTTAAACCTTGGAGTACTTAGACAATTCTGCAAAAATGTTCTTTTAATAATTTGAAATACCTATAACTTCATTTGAATCTTGAACAACTTGATGTATGTATATAAGTAAATAATTTAATAGAAGTATACAGTAGTCAAAATGACTTCCATGGTGTGAAGTGATAAGATACCAACTGTGTCTATGGAATGTTAGTAAATCCATGTCTTTGTAATTATTCAGTTAATTTGATTTACATAGACCCTGATGCATTAATGTTTTTAAATATGTCTGGTACATTATGTATTAATCATGTTTTTTCATTTTCTATATTTTATAATGCTTTGGCAACTTGGGGCCTTGTGGACTGGGGAGCTGCTCCTCCCAGAATTAGCTAATCCCTAGAAATACTAAACAATTTGTCTGTAAGCCACCTTTCATATCCAAGTCAGTCCATCCTGAGTCCACGTTTCCATCCATTTCCAAATCCAATGCAGCACATGCAAGGACACCATCCCCTGCCCTCAGTCACCCCAAGGCTAAGTACCAGACAGCTAGAGGCTACCCTGCAGCTCAGAGCCTGCCAAAATTAGTCAAACTATCCAATCCTAAACCTGCTTGGGTGCTTGCCCTGCTTTGCCCATTCCATGAAAAACAAAATTAAGGCCATTGTCCACACTCTTCCCTTATTCTTTCTGCCTCCTGACTATCCCTGGTGCTTCTCCATGTGGTCCTGCATGGCTTTGGAATTGTAAACAAAACCTCTTTTTCCAAAAACATTTGTCTCTTTGTCTGTTATCTTACCATACCTGATTAAAACAAAATCCCAGGTACATTTTAAAACATACCAAAGAAATTCAATAAACAAATATTTGTTGAATGAATGAATGAACATCTCTACCCACTTAAAGCAGGTCTCTCTTTTACCTTATTAATATTGTTCTCATGTGGTTAAAAGCGATTTAAATTAGTTATCTTTGGTAATCATACTCTCATGCAACTAAGGAGTGGATTCCTGAGAAATATGAGCGCAAGGTAACTTACACATTGCACAATGACACCAAGAAACTATGGCCTGCAAGGCGGTGTTGTTTCTTGGTCCAGGAAGAAATCTGAAGCAGACTTTTCCACAGCCAACACACCCATTTTGCTGTATCTTCCTATGTGAGATATTATTTTTGTATGCTAGGGTAGATTAACTGCTGTAAAAAATAACTCTAAATCTCAACTGCGTAAGATAAAAAAAATTTATTTCTTAATCACCTAAATCCAATGCAGGTGTTCATAGTTGGACAGCTTTCCTGTCTGCCTCTATGACTCAGTAACCAAGGATTCTTCCATCTTGTGATGCTGCCAGTTTCAGACATGGCCTCCAAAGTCACTAGAGAAGGTGGGGAAATTATGGAAAAGACATTTCAGACACATACCCAATTTTGTACACTAGTGCCAATCAAAATTCTACATACATTCTATTGGTCAGAGTACCCACATGCTCCCCTTAACACCTCCAGCCCGCTGCCACTTTCCAGAAATGTAAGAGAACTAGGAAACACAGTCTCTGGCTGGACAGCCACTTCCCTGCAGTCACTCTGTACTAGGGAAGAGGAGTTGAAACTTTGGCAGTCAGCTAACTTTTCCACCAACTCAAGACATATTACCCATGATTTCATTCTGGTGATGGAGTAACTATGGGTTGGTCAAGTGATAATATAAACCACTGGTTCTTAGCCATTTGGGAGTCATGAATCTAATAATATTTATGGACCCTTTCCATAGAAAAATATATAAACATAAGTATAAAATTTTCATAGAATTTCAGGAGTTTCATGGATTCCCTGAAGCCTATCCATTGAAATTACTAGAGAGTCACAGACCTATACTGGTGTGTAGTTGAAATTATTTAGCTCAGAAGCATATTTTGAAAAGTGTTGTACATCATGAACCTTGGGCCAACTTAAATTAGATTTTTTTTCCTGCTAAATTGGGGTCTAATTCTTTTTAATGAATTGCTACAGCTAAGAGATCCAGAATATCATAGTGTGCCATCCAACTTTCAGATGCCAGTTTTGCACTGAGCAGAAATTCCTTTCTCTACAACTGCAAAACACTTTGGCAGCTTGCCATCCATTTGCCAGTCTCCAATCCACTTCACATGCCAACCAGAGTGATATCTAAAAGTTCAAATTTTGTCATGTGTCTCCTAAACACCTTTTGTGGCTAAAGACCCTGACCCTTACTGGGGCAAACAAGGCCCTGTAGGATTCACTGGTGGACCTGTGTCTCACATTGTATGCTGCTTTGGGTTTTTTACTCCCTCACAACTGCTTTTTTTCCCCTCCCACCTCAGGACCTTTGTACATGCCTTTGCATCTTTAAATTGTTTAATCTTTATTCTTTATATTGTTAACTGCCACTTTTCCTTCAGATCTCAACTGTCATTTCCTTGAGTAAAACAGGTCTCCCATATGTTCTTCAAGTTCTCTTTAAGTTTTTTTCCTAGTGTTTATCACAGTTGATAACTCTGTTTGTGTGGTTATTTGATGTGTCTGGGTCACTCTCACTAAAAGATAAGGCCCATGAGGACAGAAATGGTGAGAACCTGGTGCCACAACTCAGTGCCTGGCTTAGTTTGTGACATATAATAGGCATTCAATACCTGTTGAATGGATGAATGAACAAATAAATGTTGACTATGCCTTACTTTACATCTTGAAAAGAAAAAAACTAAGTGAGACAGGGTCTTGAAACCAAATTATTTTCTCATTCTGAGACATGGATAGAACAACCAACTCAGGATTGGCTATGATTTTAAGGAATTTCATGATTAAGCATTGACCTTTTAAATGCTGCATAGCAACCTCTGCTCCAAGATAACTTCTATTCCAGTAGGAGAAACAAGCACTAAAACATGTGTCCACAAAGAGGATTCACTGGTGGACTAAGGGCAATGGAAGGGAATGGCCATCAAAAGAACAGGTGAGTAGGAGACTATTGGGTTAATTCAAGAAGGTCTCCTGAGGGACATGTCCTTTGTTTATAATTTGAAGGTCTCCTTATGACATTCTTGTTTTGAAATATATTTGGTATTCTGAGTGCCAACAAAAGATTTTCCCCATAGATCTTGATTTTCAGAGATTTTCTGTTTTGTTGTCCTAAGAATAAAGCTATAAGTTATTAAAAAGGCTGGCAAGGGAAGGATCAGGCTGGCATTTGATCCCTCCACCAGAGAACAAGACTTTAAACAGTTGTGTCTTGTAGTCTCTCTGGTAGATTTTATTATTTTTCAGAATATTCACTATGTTTGCATGTGGGAAGATTTTACATTCCTTTCAGACTTGGCCGTGTGATTTCCTTTAACAAATGACATGGCAGGGGGAAGTGACACAGGCAGAAGCTTTGAGAGCCATTGTGAGGCTCCACCACCCCTCTCTTTCCTCTGACACCAGGGCCATCATGTCCCTATTTAGAGATGTTCTACCAACCTGGATACCAAACTGAACAGAAGAAAGGACAGAGCCATAACTGACCCAGAGCCAACATGTAACATGAGCAAAATATTAGCTTTTACTCTTGTAAGGAACTGAAACTTAAGGACCATTTGTTATTGCAGCTAAATCCAGCAGAAGATGACTGATACACTTCCCTTCACAAAATTATATATAGTTCAATGCAAATATAGAGCTGCTTAATGAAATGGGTTGCTCCTAGTTAGGTGAGTCATCCATCATTTTTATCTAAGCACAGAGCTTCAGGAAGGCAAAAATTCAACTATGGGGAAGAAAGTGGAGTTCTCAATCCCTGAATCCCATAGACTAACTTCTGCATTCACTGAACTGAAAGATGCAGAAGCCAGCTTGCCTTATAGCTCTCTGTTGGAAGCGCTAAAAGGATTCCATTTTAGATGTGGAGGAAAACTAGCAAAAGATTTCCTGTCAACTAGATGGGGATTCCCTTTCCTGGGAAGGAAAACCAATCCAAAAAGAAAAAAAAAAACTTTATCTGCTGATTTATACTGAAACAAGAATAGGCAGAGCTGGTAGTAATATTTTTAATACTGTATCATAGAGAAATATAAAAGAAACTAATTCAAGACAAAAATGGTTTATACAAATTGGCTAAATTCTTGCTTAATGTTCCTTCTTCTTCCCTTTCTCTTCCTCCCATTCCTCTCCGTTCCCCTTCTCTGTCTTTCTTCCTTGTCCTGGCCCCAGATCTCTCTCATGGCCATCTTTGGAAGATGCAGTGAGGAAAGACATAAATATGTATAGAGATAAGTGTATCCCTATTGAAAGCAAAAGATGAATTAAATATACACATTTCTAGGAGTTCAGCCCATGACTCTAAAATATTAAAAACTTGCTTAACCCTGAACCTCTAAAGCTTGAAAAACCCTCCAAAACCACTTGAAATTTCAGGGATTTTGACACTTTAAGTATGCCGAAGTGTATTCCCATTTCCTCCAAAGTTGGCTGGCCCTGAACAACTTCAGTTCAACTTCATACGTTTTCTTGAGTGCCTGCTGTGACTGTGACCATAAATTTCATCTTCATGTAGAACTTGCAGTTAAAAGTATGGATTATCTTACTGAGGAAGCTGTTCTGCTATGAGCTTTCTATCCCAAGGACAGTTCCACACACATGCACACACACTCACACACACACACACACACACACACACACACACACACACACATGCCAATATTCCTGAATTTGGACTGTGTGTGCACATTATCAATTATTACTCCCTATTGTCAGGCAATATTGCCTTCCCCTTAAATGTGCTGAGTTCTTTAAATGTTCAATAAGTGCTGTATGAGCAAAGCTAGACTTGCCATTTAATCACTCAAGTCACTTTCTGGAAGCTAAGCATTGTTACAAAATTCAGACACCTCAGTGTTTAGTCCCTGAAACACATTTAAAACCAGGAATAGGAGCAGTTAGATTTATGTCCCATGTTTTCTGAATTTACAAAGGTCTTCTGGTAATTTGAAGAGTTATATTGAGTTACTCTCAGCAGATATTCTTCTTTATTTTGGTAGTTTTGTGATACACTAAAAAGAGCCCTAGATAGCAAGTTAAGAACTTTGGGATTTCTAAAAAGATTTCATACAATATTTTTGTAACCTAACAAAAAATGTAAATGGTTCACAATTTCATAACCATGAATATGATGAAATGCTCTTTGTTCTGAATTTCTCTAGTCCTATGTAGAATGGCTATAATCAGATTGATCTGCATGAGAATTCAATGCTAATTATGTATACATACAGAAAAGAGTTGATTTTCCATAATGGCTGTATGGTTTAAAACCCTCAAAAGAAAGGAACGTTGCAAAATGTGCCACTCCAAAAATACTACAGTCCATCAATTAAGCAATACATGAAGCATGTAATGATGATAATTCCTGGGTATGTCAACCAAGAAATAGAAAAGCTAGTTGTTAAGTTGCCTCACCATAAGAATAATGACTGTGTGAGTGCCTGGGTAGGTCATTCCCTGTCCCAGCTCAAGTATGAGAGAAAACAAAATGAATTTGCTGAGCTGGCTCTTTTCTTTCATTCCAGATGCCAACTAAGCAGGCCCTTAGATTAGTTGTACTGTCAAAACCACAAAACACCCAATCTGTGATTTTGTAGGTTAGAACTAAAGTGGAACTTCAAGACATGTTGTTGACTCTATTCATTTTAGTAATGTGATTACTAAAACTAACGTGTTCAACATCACAAATCTAGCAATAACAAACATGTAGAAAGGACTTTGCCCTAATCTGTTAACTCCTACCCTAGGGCTTTCCTGTCTGTCATGTCACTTGGAAACCAAGTACTATTTCTCAAAACTGAGCCCAGTAATAATAAGCATGAAATGTGAACTTTTCCGTTAGGATTCAAAACTGTAAAATATCCCTTTGAAATTTTGAATCTAGTAGCAACAATAAAAATGAAGTCCTACTAGAGGAGTTTAAAGTATGATCATTTTTCCCCCTGTGCTGTAAGAAAAAAGACTTGCTACTCATATATCAAACTTCCAAAATAAGACCACAAATTATTTTCTCCTCATTGTATACTATGATGTACAATGTAGTAGCAACACTGAATACTAAATATTGCTTAAAGGTGAAGGTTTGTACATGAGGTACAAAAGGGAAGGACATAGCTTTATAGTAAAATTACCCCTAAACCAGAAATGCTGACCTAATATGATTTTTCTTATCAGACAATGTTAGGACATTAATTTCCCTATTATTAAATCTATGTTATACTGGAACTATTACTTAAATATGTATTTCATGTGACTATAAAATATGAAAATGACTTGTAAATACCTGTAAGAGAACTCAAACATCCAAGAAATTCTCGTCAGATCAAGTGACAACCTGTTAGAT